CCCGATGGCGACTTGATGTGTGCGCTGTGCAGGTGACGAGGCACTGCACGCCAATCACCTGCGTCCACCTGCGACGCGGGCGCGCTGCTGTCCTGCGCGAGCAACGTTCGCACGCCGTCAACCTGCGATGTTGGCACGCCGTCGACTTTGCACTGCTGGAGCGCGGTCGACCAAGTCATGCTGGCACGCGGTCGACCGTGCTGCGCTGGCAGTAGACTTGCTTGCATGCTAGCTCTGATGTAGTCTAGTCTTGCCAACTTCATTTAAACCTTTTCTTGTTGTCAACCTTTTCCTAGTGAAAGTCTTGCCAAATCTCCCTATGAACTAGCAAGTAGTGTGAGCACTTGGAAACGACTAAGGAACGAACGAACGCAGAGATCACTCAAGCCCCGTGCCTATCCCGTAGTCTAGCTCCCGTTGTAGTAGTTATCTCCGCAGACGCTGCCACGTCAGATTTTTCAGCACTGCGCCAACCTCTGCAGGATCTCGAAGAAGTTCCACGTGGCTCAACTGACTCTCGTATTGCCCAACTGATGACATGGCAACGGATTTTCTGACGAAGAAGCTGCCACGTCAGAAATTTCGGCACTGCGCCAACCTCTGCAGGATCTTGAAGAAGTCTTACGGGGTTCATCTTCAGGAATGAAGGGGAGTGTTGGAACAATCGATGGTTATTATAACATTCCCAAAGGTTATCCCCTAGCGCACAGCTTCATAACCAGGCAACGCACTTGTGCCAGTCCCGCGCTAGATCATATAGAGCACGCCGCAGTTAGATAGCAACGCAAAGGTCAACAGTCGCTGGAAGTTAATGGTCGCGATTGTTGACCGCCTAGTAACCGTACTCGGAGGTTATACACAGCAACTTGGTAACTGTCGAGTATAATAATAGTCAAGGTTATTGTAGCAATGCAATACTATTAGTAAGGGAATGTACCCCTCAGAGTAGCGCTATTTAAATTGCTTGCATTTCTTTCATTATCACCGTGTTTACTTTCAACTTATTACAACAAGGTCCCTTCAAGACTTGCTAGTCTTCTTTCAACTTAGCTGGTCTTATCCTAATCCTTAGATTCCTTGGTTATATCAACATACTCTGAGGGTACATTCCCTTATTCAACCGTTTCTACACATATCACTACAACGCTTGAGACTATTTTGATGTCAGTGGTTACTTCGTTGCAATTGGTAACCTTCTGTTGTAACCTTCTGGGAGGTTGGTCAAACTGCTAAGGTCGGCCTTTCGACTGTTGACCTACCTCCACACTATCACATGCTCCTATTTGCAATAATGTGGTGTTCACATGCTCTATGTGAGCTCATGCGCTACTGTTACATCTTCAGGAATGTTTACATAACTCGAAGGTTATTCAACGCTTTCTTCATTCCCTGAAGAGTGCCACGTGTATGTGAGGATCGAGGAATCGGTTCAGATAATATATTATGAATCGTGGGTACAAGGCCGTGGCTGTATATAGGTATGACACAGGGGGGGTAACCGGGATGTTACATGAAGGTTCCGAGGGTCGCGAAGCGTCCCGAATGGAGCCTTCCCAAACTCAGTAGAAGTTGTTTGGTGTGTACCGAATAGCACCGAATTCGGTGCACGCAACCTAGTTTGGTGCCTATAATTATAATAAACATAGTAAAGCAACGGACCTAGGAAATCAAGCAGAAACAGGTAAGATAAAAAAAAATTGAGTTACATGAAGCATAAAAAAGCAATATCAAGCTAGTAAAGTCTAGCAAAGCCGTCGTACTCCCACAGTGGATCTTCTTGACGACTCCGCACAGGTCCGTGCAGTCGGCTGACTAAAGAGCGATAAGCTTCTACTATTGAGAGTTTTAAGTGATGGATCCAACAGGTTCAAGTTTAAGACTGAAGCCGCCAGTGCAGGAGCGCTTGTTGTTAGTGTCTCAAATGTGGTCAGTATCCACGTAGCCCTTCAGCTGTATGTAGCGGTTGGGTTCGCCGTGTAAGTTTATCCAATGTCAAGCGTAGAGATGAAGTATTGTAGCGCGCAACGTAGGTCCGCCATGTCCTCCCCTTTGGATCGGCACAAGTACTGGATGAGCCAGCTTGGAACATATGATAGATCCGGTCGGCATGTGACGGCGGCGAATAATGATAGAGATGATGATCAGACGTAGAGAGTGGCTTGATTTCGGGGACATTGCACTGCGGAGGAGTGCAAAACAAAGTAATGAGGTTGATGGAGGAAATTTTGAACATCTTCGCGAATGATTTGGCATATTTGGCGGCGGAGAGACGGATAGTGTCGGCAGATCATGTGATGTTGAGTCTGAGAAACTCGGTGACATTGTGTGAGATCTCACATCCAGTCTCTCCTAGATGTTCCTCTCGAAGCGATCTAGAAGTTTTGCGTTGGTCTTAGTTTAGAGCAGGTTGTCCACGTTGGAGACGAGAAAGGTGTAGTTGCCGCAAGATTCTAGGCGCTACATTCCCTGCTCGCGCGGGATTTGCCGAAAACCGAGTTCGTTGAGAATAGTGCGCATGTATTGCTGCCATGGACGCGGTGCCTATTTTATCTTGTAGAGGGATTTCCGGAGGAGGCAAACCAAGGTATCATCCTCCTTGAACACATGCAAGTGTTTGACGAAGATTATCGCGTCGACGATGGCGTAGAGTGATGCGGTTGATTGGGCGGAGGCCTAGGTGCTTGAAGGCAGTGATGCAGAGCAAAGTTTGGATGGAGGTGTGGCGTGGCGGCTGATAGGAGCAAAAGTTCGGTCATAATTGATGATTGGGTCTTCTTGAAATTCCGCATGACCCATCGTGCCTTGTAATTTTCGATGGAGCCGTATGCCTTCATCTTGATGCGGAACCCCAATTTGTCGCAAATGATTTGTTCTCCCATTTGCTCTTGAGCGTGGGACTAGCTTCCACGTTTCTAGGCGATTTAGTGCCTCCAATTCCGCGTTCATGGCTTCCCTCCATCTCTCCCTGTCAGGTCCTTACTGCGCTTGGCGAACAACCTTGGGCTCGATGGGTGTTGTTATCCGCGGACAGCCATAGCGAGTTCGAGAACCGTAACCCGGTCGTGTGAAGCAGGTAGTGAGGGCCAGTTTTGTTGTGGTTGGTTACTTCCACGACGTCGTCTTCTTCGTGACCGCCAGGGACTGCGCGGGCACTGTCGCGCGAGGTGTCTCTGTTTAGGTCTTCCTCAATCAACGAGTGATTTTATGCGCTTGCGTAGTTACTCTGTGCTTGCAATGTATCGTTGTGGTTGTGTTCGGATGTTGGGAAGAACGTTGGAGTGTTGAAGACGCTTCTAAAGGAATGATGGAAGATATTGTCTGAAGTCGCTTGTGTCGTACAGTGCTGGCGAAATAGTGGCAGCGTCAGATTTTCGTAGAAAATGCAATTACATGATCAGGTGAGTCGATGGGTGGCAAAGTCGAGGATGGTCCTAGCGTGGAACCCCGTCTCAATTCCGAGGTGGACTCTGTCAGAAGTAGTAGGAGAAAGTTTAGAAGCAGAAAGAGAGGTTTGGACTAGCAGCAGTTGAGATACAAATAGCAAACCCTAGATTGGGCTGTACTCGCTATAGAGTACCCCACTGCAGGCTAGACAAATACAACATTCTGACACACCCCCATAGCCAAAGTGGGGTGTAATCAGCACAACAAGCAGTCATAATAGTAGTTCACATTTTATGAGCAAAGCTAGAGGCAGTCACAGAGGGCAAGTGAGGAGGAGGAGGGCTGGCGAGAGGAGAGAAGAGTGGAGACGACGACTGAAGCTGCAGACACACGGGCAACAGACGGCTCTGGTGCAGCTCTAGTGGCTACCGGGAGCAAGGGCCCCGGAATACAGGAGTAACAGGCTCTGCGTCTGATCAGCAGCGACAGGAGCAACGGACCCACGGGCGACAGGTGCAACCGGCTCTCTGAGCTACCGGTGGCTATCAGAACCCCGGAATACAGGCGCTGCAGACGACACGACGGCGGCCTCCGCTCAACCTCCCCCAACAGTCCCACACCCCTCGACACACACCCCTTGCTTCACCCCTAGCTCCACTCCCCTTTCACCCCCCTAGTACCACTCCGTCGGCTCCCCACACACCCACCCCCCTGAGCGGCAGCTGCAGCAGCGGGAGACGGAGGAGGAGGAGAAGGAGGGGACGGGGCACACAACCGGCACCCCCACACCCGCCACCCCCAAACCCTAACACAGGAACGCGGGCAGTAGCGGGGGTGGGGCGCCGACAGAAGCTTGGGGGACGGACGAGGCGCGCGCACGGGTCTGCCGCAGGCGGGACGAGGCGCGCGCGGGCTGCCCGGGCCGCGCGCGGGCCTGGCGCAGCCCGTACGGGCCGCGCGCGGGCTGTACGGGCCGCGCGCGGGCCTGGCGCAGCCCGTACGGGCCGCGCGCGGGCCTGGCGCAGCCCGTACGGGCCGCGCGCGGGTCCCAGGGGCGCTTCGACGGGCGACGGGGACGTTTCGACGGGCGACGGGGGGCGCTCCGACGGGCGACGGGGGCGCTTCGACGGGCGACGGGGGGGAGCGCTTCGACGGGCGACGGGGGGCACTTCGACGGTGGGAAACCGCCGCGCGCCTCGGGGCGCACGGTAGGCAGAAAACCGCCGCACGCCCCGAGCGTACGGCGGGAAGGAGGCGTCGCGCGACCGAGGCGCGCGACAAGTAGAACAGCAGCGGAAGCATTAGGTGGTGGGCCCACCCACAGGATCGACCCAAGGGGGTCGACCTGCTCTGATAGCATGTCAGAAGTAGTAGGAGAAAGTTTAGAAGCAGAAAGAGAGGTTTGGACTAGCAGCAGTTGAGATACAAATAGCAAACCCTAGATTGGGCTGTACTCGCTATAGAGTACCCCACTGCAGGCTAGACAAATACAACATTCTGACAGACTCCCCACCTTGCCCGATCTTCAAAATTTCCGGTTCGGGCAGTGTGAGGGCGACACTGAACCATGTACCAAGAAACCCGGAGCATCATGGCGTCGAGATTTTCTTTTGTCCATGCCTTTTATGGAGAAATATTGTTGGGCAGGTACTTGGAGTATAATATGTTGTGCAAGTGGACTGCGTGGGCCTTGGCGAAGGGCTAATAAGCAGTTGGCACAGCTGAGTACTCCACGAGCGCTCTCTTCTTTATTGTTAGGATCCAGCTGGTCTTCGAGCGAACCCGTGCTACTCGTAAGGTAGTGAGATTATACGTTGAATCCCCTTTACAGCGCAGTAGTTACAAAAGTTGTCAGAGTCTTCTAGTGCATTGTCAGTCAGAAAGTCCTTGAGTTTTTGTTCTGATTGTAGTTTGGCAAACTTGAGCTAGAGGTGGAAGCAATCGAACACTATTAATCGATGATTGGGGTTAGCCGCCCAGAAAAATGATGTTTTGGCAACAATGAAGTGTCAAACATTATGCATGTTGTAGCTTTGTAGGCTACAGTGGGTTTAGCCTTAGAGGGTACAGAACTCTAGGGTTTCATATTTGTACTCTCATTCCTGTTAGTCATTCTCATTCTCGTTCTAATTCTCACATGGTATAGAGCAGGTTCCCTCGTGGGAACTGTTCCTAGGGCCCACCGTAACCTTTTTTTTTTTTCCTGCCCGGAGCGCGCTCCGCCCCTGCCCGAGTCGCGCCCCCCCCCCCCCCCCCCCCCCCCTTCACTGCTCTTAGCGGCCCCGTCGCGCCGCCCTTTAGGCCCCGGCGCCGCCTCTGCTGGCCCCGCGGCCCTACCCTCGCGACCCCGCGGCCCCACCCTCGCGTCGCCCTGCGCGGCGTCGTTACAGCCGCCCGCGACCCCAACGGCGCCCGTCGCGGCCCCGTCGCCCTTCGCGCCGCCCGCGACCTCGTCGCCGCGGCAGCCCGTGACCCTACCGCTGCGGCCGCCCGTGACCCTGGCGTTGCAGCCGCCTGCGACCCTGTCGCCACAGCCGCCCGCGACCCTACCGTCGCTGCCGCCCGCGACCCTGCTGTCGCAGCCGCCCGCGACCTCGTCGCCGCAGCCGCCTGCGCTCCAGTCGTCGCAGCCGCTCGCGACCCCTGTCGTCGCGGTCGCCCGCGACCCCGTCGCCCCACCCGTGCGACCCCACCGCCGCCCTTTGCGGCCCCGTCGCCACACCTTCGCGGCCCCGCCGAGCAGCCGAGCCGCCGAGACGCCGCAGCCGAGCCGCCGAGCCGCCGTTGCCGCCGAGCTGCCGAGCCGCCGAGCCGCCACTGCCGCCGTGCTGCCGAGCCGCCGAGACGCCGCCGCCGCTGAGCTGCCGAGCCGCTGAGCCGCCGAGCCGCCGTTCCTGCTGTCGCGGCCCTGTTCCTGCCGACGCGCCTCGGTCCTTCTCGCCTGCCCGGTAAGAGCAGCGCCTCCACCACTGCTCTGCCCCTGCCTGCTGCTCTCACTGCTAGTCTATTGCTATCATGGCTTCCCCCAGTGTCCTCACCTTTGACGCTGAGGGCCGGGCCATTGACTTTGACGTCTGGGTAGATGACCTGCAGCTTTTCCTACTGAGCGACAGAGCAGACGGCCTCTCCCTCTTTGACCTCACTTCTGGTGCCTCTCCTGCCCCTGCTGCTGATGCTGACCCCACTGTTCGCTCCCAGTGGGCCACGCGCGATGCTGCTGCCCGCCTTGCTGTGCGCCGCCACTTGCCGACCGCTGAGCGTGCGCACTTTAGCCAGTACAAGAGTGCTAAGACCTTGTACGACGCTGTAGTTGCACGCTACTCTTCCCCTGCCACTGCTGCGCTTAGCCGCCTCATCCTACCGTACCTCTTCCCTGACCTCGCCGCTTTTCCCACTGTCGCTGACCTCATTACGCACCTTCGCACTAGTGACACTCGCTACCGCGCTGCGCTTCCTGCTGAGTTCTGCGCCAAGAACCCCCCCCCCATGTACATCACCCTCTACTACATAGTCACCCGGCTCCCTGACACCCTTCGCCCGGTCAGGGACCACTTCCTCTCTGTTTGCCCCACCACCCTCACCGTTGACCTCCTCGAGGAGCGCCTTCTAGCGGCAGAGAAGAGCATAGTCGCCCTAGGTGCCTCTCGTGGTGACCCTCGTACCCCTGTCTTTGAGGGGTGCTCCCCCTCTCCCCTCTTGCCCTCTGTTGCCTCTGCTGCTGCGGCCGACCTCGTTGGTCTTGAGTCGGTCGCTGCGGCGTCTGCCCCTAGCGGGAGACGCCGCTCTGGCAAGGGCAAGGGGGGCAAGGGTGCTGGAGGAGCTGGAGGGGGCGGTGGAGGCGGAGGTGGAGGTGGTGGAGGGGGTGGGGGTGGCGGTGGGGGTGGTGGCGGGGGTGGGGGCGTCGGTGGCGGGACTGGAGGTGGAGGTGGAGGCGGCGGTGGCGGTGGGAGCGGAGGTGGCGGAGGTGGCGGTCCTGGAGGTGGTAGCGGCGGAGGCGGTGGAGCTGGTCGGGGTGGCGCTGCGCAGAGGGGTGGCTCCGGTGGTGGTGCGCGCCAGCAGCAGCAGCAGCAGCGTACCCGTGAGACCCCTTCCCCCCAGCAGCTTCGTGAGTGGTACGCTGCTCGTCAGCGGGGCGGGGGTGCTGGCCCCTGTACCTACGTTCTCCGTACCGGCGACCGGGCGGGTGAGCAGTGTGGGGGCGCGCACCCCACCCAGCGCTGCTTCGGCCGTCTGACGGACGCGTGGCGCCACCAGTTCCCCGACGCTACTGAGATCCCTCGCTGGGGCGAGCTGTCTAGGGCGGGTGTTGCGATCTATGATCTTGATTTTGATGCTATTCTTGCTGCCATGTATGCTGTGACTATTAGTGATGAGGGTGACTGTTACCGGTGTTTTCCGCCTGACCCAGGCATAGAGGCTGCTGCGCTAGGTACTTGTGAGGCTGCTGCTCTAGGTGCCAGTGCGTCTGCCGCCCCAGGTGCCGGTGAGTTTGCGCTCTCAGGTGCTGAGTCGTCACCGCACACCCACACCTTCACCCTTGACTCGGGTGCTTCCCGCTCCTTCTTTCGAGACTGCACCACTCTCACACCGCTCAGTCGGCCTGTTGCAGTCTCCCTGGCGGACCCCTCTGGGGGTCCTGTCCTTGCTCACTACTCCACTGTCCTACCGTGTCCGGCGGTCCCGTCTGGCTCCCTGTCGGGTCTCTACCTCCCCTCGTTCTCTACGAACTTGGTCGCGGGTGCTGACCTCCAGGATGCAGGAGTTGACCAGTTCACCCCTGCGCGTCAGCGGGTGACCCACTGCACTTGTGCGGACACGGGCCGACACTTGGCCACGTTTGCTCGTCGGCCAGGGTCGAGCCTGTACACACTGACTACTGAGTCTCCTCCAGTCACTGAGTCTGCTCAGGTAGCAGCGTCGGGTCAGGTGTTTGCTGCGGCGTCCAGGTCTGGTCCTGAGTCTGCCCCCTGCTCGTGTCGTCTCCTGTCCCACCGGACTCTCCTTTGGCACCACCGCCTTGGTCACCCCTCCCTGCCTCGTCTTCGAGGCATGGCTTCCCGTCTTCTTGTCTCCGGCCTCCCCCGGTCCCTCCCTCCTCTTCCTCCGGGGCCTGCCCCCACCTGCGTTCCCTGCGTTGAGGGGCGGCAGCGCGCTGCCCCTCACTCCTCCGAGTTTCCTCCGACAGAGGCTCCGCTGCAGACGCTTCACATGGACGTGTGGGGCCCAGCCCGCGTCCGTGGGCAGGGTCAGGAGCGCTACTTCCTGCTGGTGGTTGACGACTACTCGCGTTACACCGCGGTCTTCCCCTTGCGCAGCAAGGGTGACGTCACTGAGGTGTTGATCGCCTGGATCCGCGCAGCTCGTCTCCAGCTCAGGGAGAGTTTCGGCTCCGACTTTCCTGTTCGGCGTCTGCACTCCGACAGAGGCGGAGAGTTCTCCTCTGACCTTCTGCGGGCCTTCTGTCGCGCACGAGGCATCCGCCAGACCTTCACGCTTCCGGACTCTCCGCAGCAGAATGGGATTGCTGAGCGCCGCATCGGCATTATCTTGGAAGTCGCTCGTACGTCCATGATCCATGCGGCTGCTCCCCATTTTCTGTGGCCGTTTGCAGTTCGATACGCTGCGCATCAGCTCAACCTTCACCCCCGGGTCTCCATGCCGGAGACCTCCCCTGCTTTGCTGTGGACGGGGAAGGTTGGTGATGCGTCGCGTTTCCGGGTCTGGGGATCTAGGGCGTTTGTCCGCGACTTGTCTGCGGACAAGCTGTCCTCTCGTGCTGTTCCCTGCGTCTTCCTTGGCTTTCCCCCTGACGCGCCAGGCTGGCAGTTCTACCACCCCACCTCGCGCCGTGTCTTCGCGTCCCAGGACGTCACCTTTGACGAGTCGGTTCCCTACTACCGTCTCTTCCCCTACCGCACTGCGTCCCTCCCTCCCCCGCCGCTCTTCCTTACGCCAGGTCCCCCTCCGGTAGACCCCCTCCCCCCTCAGGGTCCTGCTCCCTCAGGTGTGTCCCAGGTAGATGCAGTTGAGCCAGTCGAGGTAGCTGTTGACTCTGGTGCTGCTGGTGGTGCTGAGCCTGGGGGTGCTGGGTCTGGGGGTGCTGCGACTGGGGGTGCTGAGCCTGGGGGTGCTGAGCTTGGGGGTGCTGAGCCTGGGGGTGCTGAGCCTGGGGGTGCTGCGCCTGGGGGTGCTGAGCCTGGGGGTGCTACGCCTGGGGGTGCTGAGCCTGGGGGTGCTGAGTCTCGGAGTGCGGAGCCTGAGGGTGCTGGACCTGCTCGTCTGGCGTCTGGTGGTGCTGAGCCTGACAGTTCTTCGGGTGCTTCGTCCCGGCGGGAGCTGCTCTCTCCACAGGAGCTGCGTGAGTGGTTCGCCCGGCGCTGGCGACGTGCTGCTGGAGCTGGTGGTGCTGCAGGCGCTGGAGGTTCTACTGCTGCTGAGAGTGCTGGTGCCGAGGGTCCCAGAGGTGCTCGTACCGAGTGTACTGGAGCTGCTGGGCCTACGAGTGCTCCTCCTGCTGGAGCTGGTGGTGCTGCTGGTGCTGCTGGCGTTGGTGCTGCTGGTGCTCCTGGAGCTGGAGCTGCTGCGTCTTCGGGTGGTCCGACTGGAGCTGGAGCTACTGGGGGTGTTGGCGCTGGGGGTGCTCCTGGCGCTGGTGCTGCTGAGGGTGCTGGAGTTGGAGCTGCTGGAGCTGGGGGTCCTCCTGGTGCTGGTGCTCCCGTTGGGGGTGCTGGTGCTGTTCCTGCTGGCACTGGTGGCGCTGCGCGGCCACGGCCGTACTTCGTTCCGCTCCTTGAGCAGGTTCTTGGTCTTCCGTCCTCTCTTGGTCCTGCTCCCTCCTTAGCGTGTCCGCCTCCTGTCCAGTCTGAGTCACAGTTACAGCCACCTTCCCCGCTTCCTTCTCCTTCTCCCTACACTGGTCCTACTGGAGGTCTTGCTGAGCGTCGTGAGCCTGCATCTCGCCCTGCGTCGCCTGTCCGTGCTGCTCGCACTAGTGGTCGTGGTTCGCGTCAGCGTCCTCCCCCTGTCCCCGGCACGCACCGGATGTCTCTGCGTCCTTCCACTGCTCCGCTGCGTGCCCCTTTGCCCTCTCCTCCAGCGTCCTCTCTTCCTGAGCTTCCTGACCCTGAGTCGGACTCCCTTCGTGCTGCGCGTCCTACTGTCACACGTCTCCTTGCTACTGTCGTCACTGACCCTTCCTTTGAGTCTACTGCTGCGTCTGCCCTCGTTGCTGAGCTTGTCGACTTCGCTGCTCGCTGTCGCCTAGACTACGCTGCCAGTCTCGTCGCTGAGTCTGAGTCTGTCTGTCCTCCGTCCGTCGGGGGTGAGTGTGCTCTTGGCACGGACGTCCTTGAGGACAGGCAGGAGGAGTTCCAGTGCTTGGCTGCTGCTTCACCTCATCTCGTGTCCATGCTGCTTGCCCCTGAGGGAGACCCGGATGCACTTGACATCCCGACTCCGCGCTCTTACGCGGAGGCGATAGAGGGTCCCTACTCCTCTCAGTGGCAGGCAGCCATGGACGCAGAGATGGCTTCCTAGAAGTCCACACGCACCTACGTTGACGAGGTTCCCCCGCCTGGGGCGAACATCGTCAGTGGCATGTGGATTTTCAGGGTGAAGCGGCCGCCGGGTTCTCCGCCTGTCTTCAAGGCGCGTTACGTGGCTCGTGGCTTCAGTCAGCGGCAGGGAGTTGACTACTTTCAGACCTTCTCTCCCACCCCGAAGATGACCACTCTTCGGGTACTGCTGCACATAGCCGCTCACCGAGACTACGAGCTGCACTCTCTTGACTTCAGCCCTGTTTTCTTGCAGGGCAGCCTGCACGAGGAGATCTGGCTGTGCCGTCCTCCTGGCTTCACTAGGTCTTTCCCTCCTGGTACCCAGTGGAGCCTCCGACGGCCAGTCTACGGTCTCCGCCAGGCGCCACGTGAGTGGCACGACACACTGAGGACGACACTTGCAGCTCTTGGGTTTGCTCCTTCTACTGCCGACCCGTCGCTGTTTCTGCGCACCGACACTTCTTTGCCGCCGTTCTACATCCTCGTGTACGTCGACGACTTGGTCTTTGCTACAGCTGACACTGCTGGACTTGCCTACGTGAAGTCCGAGCTGCAGAAGAGACACACATGCACAGACCTGGGTGAACTGCGCAGCTACCTTGGCTTGCAGATCACCCGGGACAGAGCACAGCGCACCATTACCCTGACTCAGTCACACATGGTGCAGCAGGTCCTTCAGCGCTTCGGCTTCACGTACTCCTCGCCTCAGGCCACTCCTCTGCCTACACGCCACTCGCTCTCAGCTCTGCCTTCGGATGAGTCCGTAGAGTCGAGTGGCCCGTACCCAGAGCTTGTCGGCTGCCTCATGCACCTGATGACCTGCACTCGACCTGACCTTGCATACCCTCTTAGCATTCTTGCACGCTATGTTGCTCCTGTTAGACACAGACCAGAGCACATGGCTGCAGCGAAGAGGGTGTTGCGCTACTTGTGCAGTACGTCGGGCATGGGGCTTGTGCTTGGAGGGCAGAGTCCAGTGGTCCTCACTGGTCACGCAGACGCTTCTTGGGCCGACGACCAGGCTACTCAGCGGTCGTCACAGGGTTACACCTTCAGCCTTGGTTCCGGCTCTGTTTCGTGGCGGTCTACCCGCTCGTCTTCTGTTCTCGGCTCGAGCTGTGAGGCTGAGATCTACGCAGGGGCCATGGCTGCACAGGAGCTACGCTGGCTCACCTACCTGCTGACCGACCTGGGAGAGCCGCCTCGTTCTCCTCCAGTGCTGTACGTAGACAACAAGGCCATGCTGGCCTTGTGTCGGGAGCACAGACTGGAGCACAGAACGAAGCACATCGCTCTCCGCTACTTCCTTGCTCGTGAGCTGCAGCAGCGTGGTCAGCTGCGCCTTGCTTACGTGGCCTCTGAGGCCAACACTGCTGATATCTTCACCAAGGCACTCGCGCCTTGTGATCATCAGCGCTTCTGTACTCTGTTAGGTCTTGTGCCTACCTTGCCTCACTTGCTTACTTCTTGACCTTGCTTGTACTGTTACATATATATACCTGCCCTTGCTTGTTTAGCGTTATATATATGTACCCTTGCATGTGAACTGGCCTTCTGGCCTTGAACTTGTGCTCAGACTGTGTGGTGACGTTGTGATCCACCCTGAGCTTGCCTTGCCTTGCTTTGCTTGACTGGTCTTGTGACCTCTTGTTCTCCCCCACTTTGCCTATGGGGGTGTGTCAAACATTATGCATGTTGTAGCTTTGTAGGCTACAGTGGGTTTAGCCTTAGAGGGTACAGAACTCTAGGGTTTCATATTTGTACTCTCATTCCTGTTAGTCATTCTCATTCTTGTTCTAATTCTCACATGAAGACCATGGTGTATCGTTTGTCGTTGATGCCGTTTGCTGTTAGGACTCACCTTGTCAAGTGGCTCGAAGCTTTCGGGCCGGGAAACTTTTCAAGGAAGGGAGAGTGAGTTGGAGTGGCTTCTAGATAAATGGTACAGATGTACACCTAAGCTCGAGGCTAGAGATGCTCTCCGTTTGGTAGTAGAAGGGAGCCTTTAACCGATCACATTGGCGTTGAACGAATAGCTTAGAACTTCCACCAAAGGATGCCCGAGCCTTTAAAGCCAGGTTATTTCTGTTGCTTCATGTCATTGTGTTCGTGCATAAAGTTGTGTTTCTCGAGCTAACTGCTATTTGCTTGTATACTGCAGGTGTTTTGTTTGCTTTGGCAGGAATGTTGGTGTCGAAGGCTTTCAAGACGGGACCACGGAGGTCGACAACGTTTCCTCCTTCCACCGAATCGGCAACAAACCCAACAAACTCCGCGTCGTCGGTCACTTGAAGTAACTTCGGTCCTTGATAGGGTGGCGACACTTCTTCAGATGCTTCTTCTACCTCTAGACGACCGATCGCGGATTCTGCTTCTTCTGGAGCAACACCTATTGCTGCCCAGGTGGTACAATCAATTTCCGTCGGTGGTGACGGGGATGAGGTGCGGCCCAAACTCTGGAAGTGGTGCTTCTTCCTAAGGAGCAAGTAAGTTAGTTCCATGTTCGATTACATCGATCTCCATTTCTTCCGCTTCTCCTGCTTTCGCCTTTGTAAGTTCTGGTTCTTCAGCGACTTCTAGTCGTGGAATTATTCTCATTCAGTTTCTTGTGCCATTTCTCCAAGGGATGCTCCCCAACATGTTCCGTATGTTGGCCAATGGGAATCCGACACATCTTCCTAGCCCGTCGGTTCCATTACTTCCCCAACCCCGACTTCCTTGGCTTGTTTTTTCTTTGTGGACCTATATGTGAAAGCACGACAACTTTGCTAGGTTTTCCTTGCTTGCTTTGACTTTATTATGCTTCATCTAGCTTAGATTTATTTTATCTTGTATGCATTTGCTTGATTTACTAGGTTTGGTGCTATACTAGATTTTATTATAGTTATAGCACCGTTTTAGGTTGCGTGCACCGAATTCTAGGCTTTTCGGTTGCCACCGAATCGCCTTCTATTGAATTCGGGAAGGAACCGTTTGGGACGCTTCGCGACCGGCGGAACCTTCTAGTAACACCCGGGTTACTGTCTTTTTGTCGAGCCTATATATAGTCTCGTATTGTACCCAGGTGATCATATTATAATTTCTGAACCACTTATTTCGATCCTCACACTTGGTATCAGAGCCTGTTTACACGCAAAGTCTTCAACCGTTAAAAAACGACCTTTAAAAAACCGCAGGCGCGGCGACGAAAGTGCCGATTGGGGTATGTAAACTAGTTCCGCACATTTTTTCTAAGTCCCCCTCGACCCGATTTTTGAACAGCCCTGAGGTTTATTGGCGAAAGAGGTTGGAATTTCGACCGTCTAATTAAATCACATCTCAATGGCCTAGAGAATTTCGCCCAAAAATGTTGGAACTTGGAGCGTCGGATCGACTTCCTTCTCAACGGCCGAGATCGGAAGCGAAATTGACTAAGGAAGAATTACGTGACCTACAACATCCGCGCTCGACAATTCTACAGTCGATTTGCTTTGCAGTAAGTCGACCATCGCACAGAATTGAATTATCTTCGTCACAAATCTTTCTGTAAATCGCAAAATGGAGGAAAATGGTGATAATTTTGTACAAAAAATTGCGGAGTTACAAACTGACCTGGACCAGACGCGTGCAACACTCCAACAAATTGAGGTGATGTTCGTGAACCAATCAATAGCCGCCACAGCAGCAGCTAACGCAGCGGCGAAAGCAGTAGCAACAGAAGCAGCAGCAGCAATGACACCGACAATTGTACCTGCGACAACAGCAGCAACTAGAGTCAACCGAAGCAGCAAAGCCAAGGCAACCGGAGGTGTTCGATCATAGCGCGAAAAGGAGCGACGTCCGTTGATTTGTAGCTAAACTAAAAAATTACTTCGAAGCTGTTGGATGCACGACCCCGACCCAAGACGAGATGCACATACGGCTCGCGACAACACTGTTACGAGGCCCGACTCTAGAGTGGATTTACGCAAACAAAATTGTCCAAGGCGAAGGGACGTGGGCGCAGTTTCGGGCAGCACTGATCGAACAGTTCGACACGTAGAATAGTAGCTACTACGGAATACGACACAACCAGCCAAATAGGGATTTTGGCAGCGATCAACACCACCCACGACTGCCGACCCAATGGAGATTGACAAGGTAGATGCGAAGCCGCGGCTAGCAAAAAATGAAACGTGCAAATTTTGCGGTGCTACACGACATCGTATCTTGGCGTGTTGGAAAATGAAAGGATGTGCGGGGCTGAAGGGCAAGAACGGTGCGGCACCCGCGAAGCGAAAAGCGAACAACGTGGCGACTTCAGAGAGGGCAAAAAAAATTGAGAAAATCATGGCGCGAATTAAAAACGTCATGATCAGTCGGCACCAGGGAAAATCACCGAGACAAAAGGAGAATCCGTGAAACAAGACTCTGCACCGACCAGGAAACTAATGCCGTACACCCCGACTAGTAAGAATTCGTTAAAGTTATCCTATAAAGATACTTTAACTAAGAATATTACTGCTCGAGGTTTTCAAGCCTCTGGAAAAATCAAGAGAGAATTATAAATTATTCAGGTACCTGAAAAGTTGGAGACCCCACTCTAGAGCGTTGATAAGGGTCGAGCGTTCTGAAGAGTTAATATTCTCTCCCAGCAGGTCAGTATTAAGGCTCACCGTTCCCGACAGGTGAAGCCTACACAGCTGCAAAGGCTTAGGTGAAGGTTCCATGCCCAGAAGAAGCTGAAACTGCCCCGGATAAATCCTTCAAACCCTACCCAGGTGAAAATTGATATTGAAGCTGCAGCGTCAAGCGCAAGAACTAGGGATGATACATTTGATGTACCCTATGATCCTATAAGCAACACCATCTACAGCTACCTACTTGGAGCAGCAACAACCACTACTACTCGAGGTGCTCTGCAAAGGGTGACGCCTCAAGGCACTTGTGGACAGTGGTACGTCCCACTCGGTTTGCGACCGCGGGACGTTGGAGAAAATTGGAGAGTCATTAGAGGAGACCTGATTTACAACAACGATTGTGGACGGTTCGAAGCTTCACATCCACGGCAAGTCAACACTGCAGCTGCAGATAGGGGCATTGAGGTGGAAGCCGACGTTGCCGATCACCAACATCAAGAGATTGGATTTTATCTTAGGGCGTGATTTTCTGAAGTGGTTCAACCCCGAGATAGACTGGGTCAAGCGAAAGATGGAGCATGTGGAGGTGTTAAAGGAGTACAAGGACATCATGCCGGATGACCTGCCTGCAGGAGTGCCTCCAGCGCCAAACCACGAGCACGAGATTGTACGAGGTGCGAAACCAGTCTCTAGTGCATCATACCGCCTTTGTCCGCCCGGAATGATCAGACATCAAGAAACAGATCGAGTACCTACTAAACAGAAAGCTGATCTGCCCATCCACCTCTCCAAAGATGGCACACTGGTTCTCTTCATTACAAAGGCGGACGGTAGTTTACGGCTGTGCATCGACTAATGGGCACTGAACAAACAGACAGTCAAGAACAGACGGTTGGGCATCATCCAAAAGGCATCACCAAATATTCGTAGGAGCTGTATCTGGTACGAAACGTCGTCTTGTGGATCGAGTTGTCTGCCATCTTGATCTGCCAGTAACCCGACTGTAGGTCCAGCTTCGAAAACAACATTGCACTAGTCTAGACGATCATCTATTCGAGGTATGGGGTACGTGGTGGACCGGGCGAACCTGAAGGAGTACGTGGTGCATCTGCGGAGAGTATTCGAGATCCTTCGGAAAAACAAATTCTACATGAAGCTGTCGAAAAGCGACTTCATCCTGAAGAAGGTGTAGTTTCTCGGGCACATAGTGAGTGCGGAGGGCGTACATGTGGACCCGCGGAAGATCAAAGCCGTCAAGAAGTGGAAATTTCATGAGAACGTGAAGGAGTTGCAGCAGTTCCTAGGCTTTGCCAACTACTACAACAGGTTCGTGCCACAGTACGCTAAGATAGCAGCGCCACTGACGAACTTACTGAAAAATGATACGCCCTATAAATGGGGTACTCCTCAACAACAACCCGTGGTATAGCTACAGACAGCACTGACTACAGCGCCAGTACTCATCCTACTAGATCTAGACAGAGATTACGTGGTGGAAGCAGACGCTAGTGACCAGGCAATCGGAGCAGTACTGATGCAGGATCACGGCACGGTCTGCAGCCCATCGCCTACCTTCGTAAAAAGCTACACAGAGCAGAACTGAACTGCCCAATCCATGATATGGAAGCCTTAGCGATAGTCATAGCCCTCAATGCATGGAGGTGTTACCGCCAAAACTACAGTCTACACTGACCACTGCAGCCTCAAATACCTCGAGTCGTAGCAGACGCTCTCACGACGACAGGTGCGGTGGGTGGACTTCATCAAAATACACTTCCACTACGACATCATTTACAAGCCAGATGTGAGAGTACGATGGCTTATGCCAGCTATGCATAATTTCCTTTACTTTATTATGCTACTTCTAGCTTAGGTTTATTTTATGCATGCATGAATTGCTTGATTTCCTAGGCTAGGTGCTTTCCTATATTTTATTTTAGTTATAGCACCGAGCTAGGTTGCGTACACCGAATTCTGGGCTATTCGGTTGCCACCGAATTGCCTTCTACCGAATTCGGGGTTGAATCTTGCTTGAAATGGAATTCTAGGGACGAACGGACAGACTTGCTGAAGGCTCCTCACCCCAACCCAATGCTCCGCGCGGCGATTCTGCTTCTCTCGCTCGTGTCCCACCCAGTTCTTTTCACTTCTTCTCAGCCCCATTGCACTTCAAACGACGGCCCCTCATTTATGCAAGCAAGCTAGTGAACATCACAACACTACCACCTGAGGTGAGGTGAGCCCAAAAGAGGTTGCGGTGGATGAGGCAGCATGGCACTCACATGATAATCAGCTCCACCAGATTGGTCAAGTCACGAGGGATCGTTCCAGTGAATCTATTATTGCCCAAATTCCTGCCATTGGATGGCGCATGTGATTGCAATTTGCAGCAGAGATAAGTAGGAGTCTTACTGTAAGACATTTCAAGAGGGAACGAAGATGCATCACGATCTAATGAAATGGCAGAAACAGCTCCACGTGTAGCCGGTAACTGTTAAAGTATCTCTATTCTATTTATCCTACATATGCTAGTTGGCTTGGGAAAAGTTAATATCCATACTTAAACTGGGTGTTTAACTGGAGGTTACCGCAGTTAGGGGTTTGGCTCCAACCAAACTCGGCCAAGAATGTAGGCCCTCGAAGGATGAGTTGGCGGATTGTTAGGGGACCTCCGATCGAACTTATTAGTGGGACCAATGATCTTGGCCAAGCTTCCAAGTAGGCATGAGCAAAAGGAGAACCTGAACAGGTCCTCCATGAGCATGCACGAACAGATTCGGCCTGGGTTGAATCTTTTATGGCATGTGGGATGTTCGATATTCGAGATTGAAAGTCGAACATCTCCCCAAACGTGTTCGTTTCGGTTCTTCTACCAATTGTTTCCTAGTTTCTGGAAAGGGGGGAAGCTGGGGGGTTCAGGGAATTGACAACCTAACATGCTTATTCAAAGAGACATCAAAATATTTGACCCATTTCTTTGCGAAGTTGAAGATTAGACGTTCAGCACAGATAGGTGTTTTTAGACGAACCGAACCGAACATGTTCGTCCCAAACGAGCACATGACCGGGTTGAACGATTTCGGGCGAAAAAAAGGGGCTTGTTCGGTTCACCGAACAGGTGCTTGGGTTTCTTCTGTCTCATCTATGTAAATCCCTTGCTTCTAATCCGATATCACTCATTTTCACATTCCATTCTCATCTTTCACATAATTTCAACAGCACCGTGCCCTTGTTTTCAATGAACTTAGTGTTGCAGGGCAATGTGCACGAGTGGGCGCTGTACAGGAGTCCAAGGCTCTTGAGGTGCGTACAGGAGTGCAAGGCTCTTGAGGTGCAGGACACAATCTGGAAAGGTTCCTGTGAGGTCGTTGTACCCTAAATCCCTGAACCATAAGGAGAGGTAGACAGTGTTGAAAAAAAAAAAACATTTGTGCAAACGAGGGTATGGAAACCTGCCACACAATCAGGCTCTTATTGACAGGCCATGCCCATGGCATATGTTTGCTTCCATGTGGGCACAAAACGATGGTCTCTGGCAGTTGCATTCATGCACTCTGCTTGCACGTGTGATTGCTGTCAACGAGGCAGGGATGCACCCCAGCCAAGTGCAAAGAAGGGACATTGCAGTGATAAGGTGAGAGATGGGTAGAGCAGATTCACAAGGAAGAGAGGCCCTTGATTGCTGTGAAGGTCGCTGGAACCAGCCCGGAGAAGTTGTTTCTAGAGAGAAACCTGCACCGCCAGCCAGGAAGTAAGATTGTGGCTCAGATGTTGGGGTAGGCAGAGTGGAAGAAAGAAAGCTGGGGAAGGAAAAATGAAAGCAATGAGGAGGCTACTGAGGAGGCAAAGGGAGGCAGACACTCACACGTCTGTGAGCCATGTCATTTGAGCTACCACGTGAAGGCCTGAGCTGAGGCTGTTGTTCACGAGGGGACTGTCAGCGCATTCAGACAGATATGGCATGCGATGAGCACGGAGCTCATTGACTTTGTGACCTTCTCAAAGTGGTCTTAAGTAACGTTTGTGGCCTTCAAATACGATGACTTCCTTATGGAGCTTAACTGAAGCTGCAGCCTGGAGATGTTTTTAGCCCTTTCTGCATGTTTCCCTTCAGTGACCATTCGAAACGATGTATGCGGCAGCCTTTCATACTTTATGAGAAGTAGGGGTATCATGAGGGTGGGGAAGGGTGGGAATTGACGGCCGTATCCAACGAGAAGCTGCTGTAATTGACTGTAGAAATGACCTGCTGAACCGTATTCTACATATGGATGTGAGGTGAAGCAATGCAGTTTATTCCACGCTGGTCATCCTCCTGGACAATGGACTCTCAGTTTGAGAGCACAGCAGTTTAGTGCAGCGGGGACATGGGGAGCTGAAATGGAGGGGGAGCTGAAATGGCGGAGCACGGTGGTGGGAGAGACGTACAGCAGACTCTTGGCAGTGAGCCTAGTGAATTCGTTAGGGATGCCTCCTGTGAAGAAATTGCTGGAGAGCTGACTGCAGTAAGAACAGACCAACAGGGGACATTGCACAGAGAGGAGAGGGAAAAGAAATGGCATAGAAAACTATTGAGATGTCACGAAGTCCCAACCGGGGACAGAGAGAGAGAGAGAGAGAGAGAGAGAGAGAGAGAGAGAGAGAGAGAGAGAGAGAGAGAGAGAGAGAGAGAGAGAGAGAGAGAGAGAGAGAGAGAGACTTAGCCTCTGCCCTCCTGCCTCTGCCCCTAGTCTCCTAGCTATATAAGTGTCCCTTTGGGGCCTAGTTTCCCTGATTAGTTCATTTGGTTTCAGTTTTTTGTAGGCGCGTGCCGCGTGCTTTCGGGAGGCAAGGATTAGCAGGGCTAACAATAAGCACACGCATCAAGACAACGATGCCCATGGGGCTCAACAGCTAGAAACCGAGATGCAGCGCGTCTACGTGCGGCGTGTGCCTGTCACTATATCTGATGGGCACCCAGCGCCGAGAGGATACCACGCATGGTCCTCCACAGTTGCTGGACCACTAACGCGGTCGCGCCGACTGCTTCAATCCCGACTCCAGCCTGGAGGTGCGCAGTCAGACCCCGGACCGTCTCGTCCAGCTGCGAGACCGCTACGCCTCCCAACGCGGGCGCTCCCAGCACGGGTAGCAGGAGGAGAAAGGCAATTTGCGCAGCCGCAGCCAAGCAATCTGCTCGCGCTCCACGATCAAGAGTGCTCCCTGGGCTCTGGAGAATGGCATAATGCGAGTTCACCAGAATCAGTGTCAGGGCCTGCTGGCACTCCACCAAGCGCCAAATCTGTGCGAGAGTCGCCGTGGGAACTTCGGCCACTCCGGAGGCCAGACCGGCAGACGGAACAGGAAGAGGGGGCGGAGGCTGCGCCGACAGAACATCAGCAAGCTGCCGCGGAGGGACGAAACTGCCCCTCGCCCCTCTGCCTCCCGCTCCCACAAATCCCGTGTCCGGAAGAGGGGGAATTCAGGGCAGAGGAGGATAGGTCGCGGCAGAAACAGGACACAGGGAGGCAGGCGGAGCACGATCACCACCAGGAGCGGGAACCCGCGGGTACGCTGATGCATGCGGCGCAGGAGCAACGAGGGGCGCGGACGGAGCTGGCACATTCACAGAAGCAGGTGCGGGCGCTCGAGCGGCGGGAGCCAGCGAGCTTCCAAGATTCGGTGCGCCATACAGAGCATTGCGCATCGCCACAGCTAACATTCCCGGGAAATCCTCGCGCAGCTGCTGCATCTCGCTTGGCCCACCGCGCCAGCGACCGTGACCTCCCCACTAGCCACCACGGCCGCCGCGGTGCGCCGAGCGATATGACGAGGAGGGGCGACACCGAGGAGAACCTCGCCCCCGATGCGCTGCCGCATTGCCCCCCGCGGCACCGCGTAACTGTGACTCCGCGAGCTGCTGCGCGACGGGATGTACCGGCGCAGCTGCAGGGGCTACCAGGTGGGCAGACTCGGGGTCGGCGCCCACCGCTGTCCCCGGCGCAGGGCCCCCAGCGTCAGCTTGGACAGGCGGCGGCGCCACAAGCGACGGCTGCGCAATGGGAACCGGTGCGCCGGACACGGGAACAACCTTCAGAAGGGTCAGCGGGGGAGCCGGCGTCAGCGGGACCGGAGCTGAGGACATCGCAACAGCAGTAGGAGGAGCCGGGGGGGCAGAGGGAGCAGCAGCTCCAGCAACAGCAGCGGCAGGGGCCGGAGGCGGAGCAATCGCGCTCTCGGCGGTGTGATCTTGGTCAGGCACGACGTTCGAGCACCTGCGCGAAGCTGCCCTGATGCACTCCAAGATCAGCTCACACTTACATGCGCTGGTCAACACGATCCTTCGCGGGAAGCTGCGCAAGGAGGTAGCCGGGCTTCTTACCGCATCACGGCTGATAGCTCTCGACAAGCCTGACGGAGGGACCAGGCCAATAGCCATTGGCGAATGCATCCTCAGGCTAGCAGCCAAAGCAGCACTTACCCAGCTAGCGGAAGCGGCCAGCGAATTCTTCTTACCCTTACAATTTGGAGTAGCTGTGCCGGGAGGAGCAGAAGCAGTTATCCACATCGTTCGAACATTCACCTCGGCCAACCAGGACGCACTAGTTTTGCAAGCCGACATAGCTAACGCTTTCAATAGCGTTGATCGCCACGCCATAGCGACAGCTCTGAAAGGCTCGCAGCTTGAACCGCTGCTGCCTTTAGTGAACTTCTCTTACGGCCAGCCGTCCGAGCTGCACCTGGAAGCAGCTTTGAACCACCCGCCTTTGCTCAGTGAGACTGGGGTCCGCCAGGGGGATCCCCTTGGCCCCCTCCTCTTTGCCGCAGCCATGCAACCAGCTCTGAACGCTGCAGCGGAGGCACACCCGGAGGTCATCTGCCTAGCTTACGCAGTTGACGTGACCTTCTTAGGGGACCCGTCGTCATGTGAGGCCGCTTTTTATCACTTCACGGGCCTCCTTGCAGAAATCGGGCTCAAGCACAATCCCGCCAAGTGCGAGGCTTGGTCCAATAGGTCGCCCGCGGATTATCACCTACCAGTGGGGGTTCCGCCCAGCAGCGACGGGTTGAGAGTGCTGGGCAGCTACATCGGCACCCCAGGGGCTACCTCCGCCTTCGTACGATCCAGCCTGGATACGATGGGTGCGCCGCTAGGATTGATAGAGCGGATGGAGCCGCAGCTGGCGGGATTGCTGCTGTCTCAGTGCGTCTCGCGCCGAGTGTCCTACCTGGCCCGCACGACTCCCCTTCCTTCTCTGCCCAAGGAGGAGTGGTCCGAATGGGGGAGGCGACTGCTGGAAACGAAGCTCGCGGCTTGCGGCATTAATCACTCGCAGAGGGAAGAGGAAACTTCACACACATGGGCGCAGGCCTCTCTCCCCGTATCGCTCGGTGGCCTTGGGCTGACAGACCCCTCCGTGGAGGGAAGCTACAGCTTCCTCGCCAGCTACACGCAGGCTAAGCTCCTACTTGACTCCCTAGACGGCGACTGCACCGGCCCACAGGAGGCCACACGCGTGCTGATGCGTGGGCCCTACACCCAGTCCTCCCCCTTGACCGAGTGGTTAGCGGAATGCGAGGAGGAGCTTCCACTGCCGGCGCAGGAAGCTTTGCAGGCAGAGAGAGCAGCCCCATCCGCAGGAAAGCTGCAGCACGGGCTGGCCACTGCTATCCAGGGCCAGCGCTACGCCGTACAGGTGGAGGAGGCGAGGGGGATGAGCCTGAACCCACACAATGGTCACACGGAGCGGATACGGGGCATTCCCCGCCTCCCCCGCCCACTCAGCTGCATCCCCTCCCTCCCCTCCCTCCTCCTAACAGTCTCCCTCTTTTCAACAGTAGCAGCAGCAGCAGGCAGCAGCAGCAGCAGCAGCAGCAGCAGCAGCAGCAGCAGCAGCAGCAGCAGCAGCAGCAGCAGCAGCAGCAACAACAGCAGCAGCAGCAACAGCAGCGGCAGCAGCAGCAGCAGCAGCAGCAGCGGCAACAGCAGGAGCAGCAGCAGCCAGGGCAGCAGCAGCAGCAGCCGGGGCAGCAGCAGCAGCGGCAGCAGCAGCAGCAGCCGGGGCAGCAGCAGCAGCAGCAGCAGCAGCAGCAGCAGCAGCAGCAGCAGCAGCAGCAGCAGCAGCAGCAGCAGCAGCAGCAGCAGCAGCAGCAGCAGCAGCAGCAGCAGCAGCAGCAGCAGCAGCAGCAGCAGCAGCAGCAGCAGCAGCAGCAGCAGCAGCAGCAGCAGCAGCAGCAGCAGCAGCAGCAGCAGCAGCACACAGCAGCGGCTTCAGCAGCAACAAAGTGCCACTTCTCGCCCCTCCCCTTTCCTCCTTCCCCGCATGCACACATCGTATCCTTGGGACCCCTCCTCCTCCTCCTTCCCTTCAACTCCTTGAGAACTCTCACGAGGAGTTCCTCACCATCCAGCAGCACACTCCTTTCCTTGCCACCCTCTTTCTTGACTTTCTTGGCTTCCCCGTCCTTGGCGCCACCTCCACCCCCACCATCTTCACTCCCTCCACTTTCCAAGAGGTCATCACCTGCACTGACGCGGACAAGTGGATAGCGGCAATCTTCCAGAAGTGTGAGGCGTTTATCCGCAACGGCTCCTTCGTTGACGTCCCCCTCCCCGCCGATGCCAATCTGTCGAGGGCAAGTGGGTTTTTTCGTGTGAAGCAGCTGCCGGGTGAGGAACCGGTCTACAAGGCCCGCTACTGCGCCAAGGGCTTTACACAGACGTTTGGGGAGGATTTTTGGGCCACCTACGCCCCCACCGCCAAACCCCCCACCCTTCGCGCAACCCTCGACATTGGTTCGCGCGACAACATGGAGCTCGATTCCATGGACGTCTCCAATGCGTTCCTGCAGGGCGACCTGCACAAGCGCATTTTTCTCCGGCGACCACCCGGGTTCCACGCAGCCTTCCCTGAGAACACTGTCTGGCAGCTGCGTCGCCCTGTCTACGGCTTGAAGCAGGCACCACGTGAGTGGTATGCAAATCTGGCTGCCACCTTAGGGTCTCTCGGCTTCTCTTCTTCCCACTCCGACGCCAGCCTCTTCATCCGCTCCTCCCCCCGCCACTTCTTCATTCTGGTGTATGTGGACTACATGATCCTGCTCTCTGACACCAAGGCTGACATGGAGCAAATGAAGCTGTCCCTGCAGCAGCATCTCAAGTGCAAAGACCTTGGCGCCCTCACTCACCACCTGGGCATGGCCATCACGCGCAATCACCCTGCTCGCACCATCACCCTCTCCCAGTCCCACTACATCGGCCAGGTCTTGGAGAAGTTCAACATAGCGCATGTCAAGCCCGTCTCCACCCCCCTCCCCTTCGGCCACCAACTCGCTCCACCCACCTCTCCCACCTCCTCCCCCCTCTCCTATGCCAAGCTCGTTGGGTCCGTGATGTACGCGATGATGTGCACCCGCCCCGACCTCGCCTACCCCGTCAGCGTCCTTGCTCGCTCGCTTCGTCGCCACACTGAGGAGCACTGAAAAGCTACCAAGCGGGTCCTCCGCTACCTTCGAGGGAC